GTAGAGTGCTGTGACATCACAGCTCACAGCAACCTCCAACTCCTGGGCTTGAGCAATTCTCTTGCCTCAGCCTCCCAAGTAGCTGGGACTATAGGCACCCACCACAACACCCGGCTATTTTTTGGTTATAGTTGTCATTGTTGGAAGGCCTGGGCTGGATTCGAACCTGCCAGCTCCAGTGTATGTGGCTGGCACCTTAGCTACTTGAGCCACAGGTACCAAGCCCCAGCCTCAGACTTAAAGGCAGATCCCCATAGCAGGGGCGGGGAACAAGGAAGGGTGTGTAAAAGGCCCCTTGGCCTGAAGTTGCTCTCATCTGACCATTTCATAGGGCTGCCCTGCCAGCCCCACCTGCCTGCCTGCTCCAGGCTTCAGATACCACCTTCAACCTCACTCACCCATCAGCGTCATCAGTGATCTTGCCCTTGATCTTCAGGGTTGTCCCCGGCTTCATGTTCATGTTTTTAATCTCAAATTCCTCCTGGGCCAACAGAGAAACATTTCACTGGAGTCTCCACAGAAAATCGGTGACATGCGCCCAGCACTCTTCTACTGGTAAAACCCATTTATGGCACCATCCATCTTCTCTCCACCTGGCCACAGGTCTCATAACCCTCCACCCACATGGGGACATGTGAGGGCACTGAGCCTGGAAAGGGCAGAGCCAGAGCACTCTGATCAGGGCTCCCTAAGCTCCCGCCTGCCCTTTCTGCCTTGCTTTCATCCATCTCAGCCTGAGGTTCAGGGACCAGATGAGGAAGCCTCAGTTTACTCATCTATTAAATGGATAGAGTGGTTCTTGCTGACCTTGAAGTTAGTTCCCTGAAGTGTTCAAGTAAGTGATGAAGTCCTTCTGCCCTTAGCAGAACCCCAGAAACAAGTATATGGTACAGAAAAATGCCTGTATTTTTCAGAGGCATTCATGCAGGTCATCCCAAACTCAGGGCCAATCCCAAACTAAGAATCTATAAAACTCCATAAGTCCCACGTCTGAACATGTCCATAAGAGTCTCTCTCCAAACCTCACTTCCCCTTTCTGAAAAATGGACTGATTTGATTTCTTCGTTAAAAAACGTCTGCGAAGCCAGGTACAGTGGCTCAAGCCTATTGTCATGAGGCTGAGGTAGAAGAATAGCTTGAGCCCAAAAGTTAAAGGCCAGCCTAGGCGACGTAGTGAGACCCCCATCTAAAAGAATAAATAATTGGTGAGTATCCATTGTGTGACACTGTTAGAGGCACCAAGATGGGTAAGGAATTGAAATTATTTATGAAGTCTCTAGCAAAGGGCCTGGCATAGACTACAGGCAAAGGGAGGGGTGACCATTATTTTGATTTCTTCTTACTTTTTGGGGGGTGGGCGTGGAGTGAGACAGTCTCACTCTGTTGCCCCAAGCTAGATTGTTGTGCCATCAGCCTAGTTCACAGAAACCTCAAACTCCTGGACTCAAGCGATCCTCTTGCCTCAGCCTCCCAAGTAGCTGGGACTACAGGCGCCTGCCACAACGCCTGGCTAGTTTTACTTCTTACTGCTATTATTCATCCACTCCTCCTTTTCCCAGAGGACCTGGGCAGCACCTGAGTTCTAGGCAGCAGAGGCTTCCTCCACCTGCAGTTGGTTAATAAGAAGCATCTCAAAACTGGGTTTCAGAGTCCATTTCCCGAGACTGAGAAAATGTCCAAACTTTCTGTGCCCGTGACTGAGGCTGAACTGAGCTTGACAGGCACCAAAGATTTTAGAACAACTTGTAGAACACTTTTATGTGGTGGGATTTTTCTATTCACTGACATATTTTTTTGTTTTTTGGATTTTTTTTTTTTTTTTGAGCAAGCATAATCTCAGAAGCCCTGAACCAACTTAGTCTGACTGGGGCACTTGGCCACGAGTCCAGGGCAGCGGCAGTGGAGGCTGATCAGCACGGTTGCTCCGGCTGGCAACCTTCCTCCTGTGAAGGAGGAAGCCACCTGCTGGTTCACACACAAGGGTGGGGCTGTAAGGCAGTGCCTGGCTCTGCCAGAGGCAGCATGTTCAGAAAGGCAGGCCTGAAGGAGGCCACACAGCCCAGAGTGGGGCAGGAGGGAGGCCAGTCAGACACAGGCGCCTCAGACCAGGCTCCTCCGCCTCTGCTCTGCTGGCATTTGTGGCCCAATCGTTCTTTGTCATGGGGCCGTCCTGTAGGATATTACATGGTATCCTTGGCCTGTACGCACTGGATGCAACTAGTTGTGACTTCCCCATACCTGTTGTGACAACCAAAAGTATCTCCAGGGATAGCCAGATGTCCCTCGGGGCAAAATCTCCCTGCTTTAGGGAAAGTAGGATTTGGAGTCTGGAGCCTAAACCATCAGCTCCCCACTAAATTCAGCTGCTGGATCCACATTGCGGAACCAGACAGACGGGATTAAAATTCTCCTTCAGTTGACTCGGCACCCATAGCTCAGTATGGCGCAGCCACATACGCTGAGGCTGGAAGGTTCAAGCCCAGCCAGCTAAACAACAATGACAGCTGCAACAAAAAATAGCTGGGCACTGTGGCGGATGCCTGTAGTCCCAGCTACTTGGGAGGCTGAGGCAAGAGAATTGCTTAAGCCCAAGAGTTGGAGGTTGCTGTGAGCTATGACGCAAGAGTACTCTATAGAGAGCAACATAGTGAGACTCTGTCTCAAAAAAAAAATTTCTCCTCCAGCCTCTTCACTGACAGATGAGGAACACTGCTTAGAGATGAGGTTATCCAGTGAGGACAAGCACAGTTCCTCCCAAGGGGTTCAGGCGAGATGCAGAACCCGGGTGTGCCTGCTACACTACAGGTGCTCCCAGACGTGCTCTGTGCTCTGCACGCACACGTGTGACACCCGCTGTCAGGAAGGTTCCCTGTCTCCTCCCAGTGGTCTGCCCCATACCCCCAGGACCCTGGGACAGCCAAGGTGGGACAGCAGAGCTGGAAGTAGTGTGGGAAGAAGTACCCTCTGCTTCCCTTGCAACTCTGGGGGCTGCCTGGCTGAACCGGAAGAACCCAGGACCCCCAAGAATGAGGGTGGGGCTGTTTCAGGGGCCCTCAAAAGTCAAGGTCAGGGGTACATTTGAACAAATCGGGATGCTGAGATTGTGGGCGTGTGCAGGCCTGGGAACCTGGCCCCACTCAACAAAGTCTAAGGCCCAGAGAAGGAGGCAGAGCTGGGTGGAGGCTGGAGTGGTTCTCAGACCAGAGAACTGGGGGGCTGGGAGCTGAGAGGCCCAGGGGTCTTTCTGGCTCTGCCCCTAACTGGTTGAGTCTCTTTCTGGGTCTTAGTTTCCCCACATGTAATATAAGGGATTTGTATCGGATGAACTCTGGAGGAGAACAAGGAAAGAAAAGGGAAGAGAGGGATGATCAGAAGGCCAGGAAAGTCTCCAGGCCACAAAGGCCTTTCCTGAGAGGCAGGACAAGGAGAGCATCGGCCAGTCCACGTAGGTCCCCCCAGTCATGTTCACATCCTGCATCCTACCTGCATGGGTTGAGTAGTGTCCCCCCGCAAATCCATATCCACCTAGAACTTGTGACTGTCATCTATTTAATATAGGATCTTTGCAAATGTCATCAAGAAGAGGTCGTGCTGGTTTAGGTAGGATTCTATGAAATCTGGACGCAGAGACACACAGAGCAGAAGGCCACGTAAAGACAGAGACAGGTCGGGTGCGGTGGCTCACACCTGTAATCCTAGCACTCCAGGAGGCCAAGGAAGGAGGGTCACTTGAGCTCAGGAGTTTGAGACCAGCCTGAGCAAGAATAAGACCCCATCTCTACTAAAAATAATAAAAAAAAAATAGCCAGGCATTATAGCAGGCACCTGTAGTCCCGGCTGCTTGGGAGGCTGAGGCAGGAAGATGGCCACCACGGCACTCTAACCTAGGTAACAGAATGAAACTCTGTCTCAAAAAAAAAGAAAATGAGGGCAGTGCCTGTGGCTCAGTGGGTAGGGCGCGGCCCCATATACCAAGGGTGGCGGGTTCAAACCCAGCCCTGGCCAAACTGCAACAAAAAAATAGCTGGGCGTTGTGACCCCTATAGTCCCAGCTACTCGGGAGGCTGAGGCAAGAGAATTGCCAAGGCCCAGGAGTTGGAGGTTGCTGTGAGCTGTGACACCACAGCACTCTACCAAGGGTGATAGAGTGAGACTCTATCTCTACAAAAAAAAAAAAGAAAGAAAGAAAGAAAAGAAAAGAAAATGAGAATGAACAAATTAATAAATAAAAATAAAGGATAAAAAGAATCAGGGACTTCAAAGGGGATCCACTCAATACCCTGCAATTTACAAGTTGTGACCTTGGGCGATTTAATCTCTGAGCCTCATATTCTTCATCTTTATAAGCAGTTGTTGTTGTTATTATTATTATTACCACTCTTATTACTAGTGAGAAAACTGAGGGCAGAGAGGAAGCCTCAGGGTCCCCGCAGGATGGCAGCAGAGGGGACAGAGATCACTGATGCCAAGTCTGCAAGTCTGCATTTCCCACAGGCCGCCCAGTGAGGGTGCCACTTCTTCACTATACAGATGGGGAAACTGAGACCTAGGGAGGGGCAGCGATGCTTTTCCCCAAGTGCCCCCCACCCAGGCAAAGACACAGATGGATAGAGGGGAAGGTTAGGGGAGCTGGGTCCTCACCGACATGGTGACAGCTCCTGGTAGCAGTTCCCAGCAGCTCCTTGAGGCCCGTGCTCAGGGTCTTGCCTTGTGGTCAAGCTTATATCTCAGAATATTACACATTAACTCCCCAAGGCCATAAATGAGGACTTTGGCCCCTTCTATCCAGCTATTTGCCTGCCGGCATCTCCCAGTCCTCAGAATACACAGGCAGAAGGCTCTTCAGCCTGCCCCACCCTAGCCGGTCAGAGCATCACTCCCGCCTCCCTGCAGCCTGGTTCTTCAGGGCTCCCACAAGCCCAGAGGAGGCAGCCCCAGCTCCACAGGGCTCCCGATCTCCTTCACTGCATCTGGCTTCGTCATCAGCAAAGAGAAAGACTTGCTTTGTAAAAAAAAAAAAAAAA